GAGCAGGTGAGAAACCCTTGATGTGTTTGTCCTTACTTTTCTCTGAGAGATGCAGGAAAATAAGGGAAGAGAAAACGTCTGTGTCTGGCCATGTGCCCCCACTCGAGATCAGGACTGTCAGAGCAGGGGAGCCCCATATCTTAAGGGTGAAATTAATTTAAAAAAAGGGTGAAATTCATTAAAAAAATCAGGTAAATGAATCTTGGTGGCATGACAAGGAAAAGCAAAGCTATTGAGAGCCCCTAAACAGCCTCCGCTCCTTGAAGTCCCTTTAGAAGTGAAGGAGTGAAGCTGCACCTGGTTGAGACCTGCTGGATATTTTACATCTGTGGATTTGGGAGGGCTAATAAATTCTTTTTTTATTTAGCCTCTTATAGTTCTCCCTTCAATCTGATGTTCAGGTACCTCATGTTCCTTCTGGATGAGCCATGAAAGATAAGCATGAAGGTTTAATGCTTTAGAGGTAGCAAGAGGCAGTGAGTGGGATTGGGTCCGTTTTCCCATCTTCCTTGGGGTGTGCCAACTTCATGTAAGGAATGTAAATAAGTTTAATACTTCCAGCTATCTTTTTTTTTTTTTGCCTTTTTTTTTTTCTGTCAGGACCTAAAAAACCTTCATTTTACGGGCAGGATTCATTTGTTAAAAAATCAGTCACTTGAATTTCGAGCTGAATCAGTCCTTTGCGGGGGTCTTGCTTGCAGAATTTCAGAGAGGAAAAAACAAACACATGGCCATTGTGGTTGGTTCTGTTTTTCAGGTATCTCCCCAAGGAAATTTGACAGCCCATGGTGAGAGTTTTGCTGTCTGATCAGCAGATAAAGCATGTGATTATACACGGAGATCTGATGGTGTAGAGGATATTCTGCTCCACCAGCAGCAGAGTTTGCCTGCAGCAGAGCTGTTGGTCCATGGTCTGTGTTCTCAGGGAAAGTATTTACCATCTTTATTTTCTCCTGCACCCCCCAGTCGTTCTGCTTGTCTCTGTTTCGTTTTAATCCTTGTTACTTTTGCAATTGATTGTATTTCACAAGGAAAAAGAGGGGCAAACAATTTGAATTTTAGGCAGCCAGAGGAGAGCAGGAGGATAAGAGGCTCTTCCAGCAGTGTGGGGGGGATGAAGTGGTGGAGAATACCCACTCATTAATGAAATTATGATGATTCTAAAACATCTGATTTACTTAACTACTTTGTGAATTGATCTTTAAACAGGGTAAGTTTATTAAAATGTTTCAAAAAGAGAAAGTAACTGAAGCCCTCCTGGAGTAACAGTTTGAAAAAGTGTTGCTGTAGTTACTCATTAAAAAGTCGTAGGTAGTTGGCAATGTTGGAACATGTTCAGTAATTCCACGTTTTGCAATATTTGTTTGGGTTTTTTTAATGGAAAATTCCAAGTTCCTACAGTTGTTTTAAATGCATAAAAGCCACTCCAGGTGTCTTAAATACATAAAAGCATTATTTCTAGATCTCATGGTTGGGTATAAAAGCATGGGAAAATGGGAATTGGACTCTCAAATCAGGTAGAGCAATAAAAAGTGTGTCTGATGCAATATATGCTGAGTATGTAAATATAAGCAAGGCAGTTTGGACATCTGTATATGACATTAGTGAGACCAGCAGGGACATACTCTGATTTTGGTGTTCTTATCTTTTTAGCATTAAGAAATTACCCAGAAGTTCCCTAAAGGGGTTGGAGGGCTGGAAGAATACTTTGCATGGACAGACAGGCAGATCATTGATGTTAGTTCAGGGGTTTTTTTTCAAATTTTCCAATAATTGTGTTAAACACAGGAGAAGGGCCTGACTTTGCCAGTGGGTTTGTTGCTCTTAGATGACTTTCTGAACGAGATTCTGAGACACAAGTTAGAAATCACTGAATATCTTATTTTTAGGGCACAGGGTGGCCTTGTCCAGCAGCCTTTGCATGCCTGTGAATTGAAATTCCTGCACATGCACATCCCTACTGCATCAAAGTGGGACAAATTGAGGCCAGAGCACTTTCCCCCGTCCAGCCACGTGCGACAGAAGGTCACCCAGTGCTCGTGCATCTGAGAACACTGCAGTTCATTAGCTGTAATTCACTAAAGGATACTTGGGATTCACCAAATGATTATGTGTAATTCACTAAAGGAGATTAATTTGGCCTGGGAACCCAGATCCAGAAGCTGAGCCCTGGCACTTTTCAGACAAATTAGGAATCACACCCAGATTTCAAAGGGAATCACTGGCCATGGCCACCAGCTGCTGCAGGAGGGTGGGGAGGCCCTGGCACAGCTTTCCCAGAGAAGCTGTGGCTGCCTCTGGATCCCTGGAAGTGTCCAAGGCCAGGTTAGACAGGGCTTGGAGCAAGCTGGGATAGTGGAAAGTGTCCCTACCCATGGCAGGGGGTGGAACTGGGTGAGCTTTAAGTTCCCATCAACCCAAACCATTCTGTAATTCCGTGATTGTGTGAAATAAGTTGTGTGTTGCTGGACAATTTTGAACCATCTGGAAGGTCTTGTTTCTGTCAGATGTGAGTTTTTTAGTTCACAGGGCTAGAAGGACAAAAGTTCTGGGTTTCTACATCTGTGACAAATGGGAGATTAAACTGAATAATACATGTTTTAGTATTAAACCTTGAAGAGTCTGTAAAGTAGGAATTTTGAGTAGAGGTAATTCTGGATGGAGGCTCTGGCTCATTAAATTCTCCAGTTCAACTTAGTACTTGAGCACATGAAACTTGATGTTGGCAGATAAATGATTCAGGAAATGGTGACATTAGAAATACAGGTAAGAAATGCCCAAACCAGGTTTATCTCTAAGGAAAGGCGAGTTGGCACATCCAGTGAAAACCATCTCAAGGCCAGAGGTTTAAAGAGATTTTCTGTTTGAAAATGAGCTGTCACAGGGCCTTGCAGGCTGTGATGAGTCAGCAAGTCAGTGTGACACTTCTCCCAAAGCTTGGAGGAAAAGATTGAGCAGCCCTGTCTCCCCCAGAGGCCAAAGCTAGAACACAGAACACAGTGTCTGCTTCCAAATGCTCCTTGTCAAACTGGGAACGCCTCAGTCTGAGATGCCACTTCCAAATTGTAGTTGTTACAATTCCAGTCAGTTGCTGGTCCATTCCTGCACTGCCTGCCCTGCCCTTCTTGAGCTGAATAATTTGGGTACTTGTCTTCTCAAATTTAAAATGGCCTGAATGGTTCCAGTAATCAGTTGTCCAAAGGACAGCACATAAGAGCCAAGCACTTATATGGATGTCTGTCTTCTCAGTCATTTTCTTGGATGGGAGTCATCCCCTTGCCTTGTCCTCCTGCTTCCTTCTCCCTTGGATGGGAGTCATCCCCTTGCCTTGTCCTCCTACTTCCTTCTCCCTTGGATGGGAGTCATCCCCTTGCCTTGTCCTCCTGCTTCCTTCTCCCTTGGATGGGAGTCATCCCCTTGCCTTGTCCTCCTGTTTCCTTTTCCCATGAAACAATGAAAGGGGTTCAGTAGTCGATGGATGAGGCCAAAGATGGGACCATCTCCTCATTTCCCTATTTCCCAGGCTGCAAAAGGCATTTTTGTGGATTTGTGCATCCTGGGTGTGTAGGACCATGTCTGTACAGTTACACTCAAACTCCAGCTCTACTTAGCAAGCCAGTTCTCAGTGTTCTTCAGCCCATATTACAGATCTCTAGTCACCCCCTGTCTCCTGTTGGGAACTTCTTTGTGCCAGTACAAAAGTGGACATGAGGAGTCATCTTCAAAATCCGTGGACAGGAATAGGCAGCCCTGTCCCTGGAAGGTCCCACAGCCATCATCCCTCTCTTGGTTTTCACGGGGTCCTTGGAATCCTTATTTGACTTTTCTGAGTGCTCACAGGGATGGTACATAAGCTCTGTCACGTCTCCTGGAGTTTGAGTGATCTCCTCACCCTGCTCTCCTGCAGGAATGGTAATAAACCCTTGACTCATAAGAAGATTCACGAGAAGGATGGAAAATGCCTTGTTCTCCTTGCCAAGTTCTGTCTGCCCTCCATCTGCCATCCCTTCTTCTCAAGATCTAGAGCTCTGAAGGAGGTGATCTTGTTGTTTGTGTGCCAGTTGGATCTGTAGTGAGGAGACTTGGGAAAGAAAAGAGATTGAGGGAGCATATTGTGATTTTTTTCTTTTCGGTTCCATGTCTGGGCTTTGCAGCAAATCCATGTTCATTGTTCTGGCACCTTGGGAAGTTTAGGAGTTAAAAATGCTTTTGATGAGCCACCAGGATGATTGAGTTACATGAGAGGGCTGCCTTTGGAGGGGAAAAGGCTGAAGACTTATTTCTTTAAATGAAAGCTCAGGAGTAATTGGATGTGCTGCACTTTCCTTGTCAGGGCAGGCGATCCGTGACAGCGTTCCAGGTTCAAAAGTTCCCAACTTCAGAAATCCACCTTCAGAAACGGGACTTCAGTCAAATCAACTTAGGTCCTACAGGCCACTAGAATTTCCGTTAGGTGTGTTTTTATCTTCTTTTCTTTTTTTTTTTTTTTCCCCAAGGTTGCAGCAAAAGTTAGGGCAACTTGAACTCTTTGTAGTTAAGATTTGAAAGAGTCGAGACTGATAAATCTCACGTCACAGCCGGTTAAAACTTCTGCGGAAAAACTCAACCGCTGGCCTTGACTGAACAGTTTTGGAATGTGGGATTTCTGCCTGCTGGGTAAATGGGGGCAAAATTTTGTGTGAAATCAAGTTGCAGCCTTAATAACTGAGCAACCACTGTCTCTGTAGCAGTGGTTTGTCTAAAGCAAAAGGGTACGAACTGCAGGTGTAGGGAATGCCAGGAGAAGAGGGAAATGCTGTTGGAGCACTCCAAAGAAAATAACCATTTTTGGGAGATTGCCTGCTGAGGTGGTTTGGAGGTGCACTTTTGTGCTGCCAGTTCTGTCGTGTGTGTGTGTCTTAAAGTTTTGGACCAGGATTGATCTTTGAGGCGTGTAAAGTACTTCCCGTGTGCCACAGTTGACCTGAAGCATTTGGTTTCCTGTTTTCCCTCGTTTTCAGCCTGCTGGAAACCATGTCTCACTACACGGACGAGCCAAGATTTACCATAGAGCAGATAGACCTTCTGCAGCGCCTGAGACGCACGGGAATGACCAGGCATGAGATCCTCCACGCTCTGGAAACCTTGGATCGCCTCGACCAAGAGCATAGCGACAAATTCGGGAGAAGGTCTGGCTACGGGGGCGGTTCCTACGGCAACAGCACCAACAACGTGCCGGCCTCCTCCTCCACGGCCACAGCCTCCACCCAGACCCAGCACTGTGGGATGTCCCCCTCGCCCAGCAACAGTTACGACACCTCCCCGCAGCCTTGCACTACGAATCAGAACGGGAGGGAGAGTAACGACCGGTTGTCCGCCTTCAACGGGAAGATGTCGCCCACCCGGTACCCCCTGGCCAACAGCCTGGCCCAGAGGTCCTACAGCTTCGAGGCCTCCGAGGAGGACCTGGACATCGACGACAAGGTGGAGGAGCTGATGAGGTTAGTGGGGGCCTTGTCGCTTGGATCCGTAGCGGGGAGATTTAGGAGAGAAAAGAGGTTGAGGGAGCGCGTTGGGATTGTTTTTCGGTTCCGTTTCTGGGCTTTGCGGCAAATCCGTGTTCGTTTTTCTGGCACCTTGGGGAGTTTGGGAGTTAAAAATGCTTTTGATGAGCCACCAGGAAGTTTGGAAGGGCAGAGTGAGAAGTGCCTCAGAGGAGGTGTGTGTGTGTTGGAGGAGCGCTGTGGTAGCCACAGAGGGTGGGAAAACACTGGCCCAGGTTGCCCAGAGAGGTGGTGGGTGCCCCATTGCTCCAAAGGTTGGATTGGTCTGAACTCTCAGCAACCTGATTTAACTGAAGATATCTCTGTTTATTGCAGGCCTTTAAAGGTCTCTTCCAGCCCAAACCATTCCATTGCGATTCAGTGATTATCAGGAGAGCAGGAGCTGCTTCAGAGCTGTTCCCTGCCAGTTCCCCAAGGGTCACTATCCCAGAACTCCTCACCTGCCTCTCAGCCTTGTGCAGGCAGCCCCTGGCCCTGTGGGTATCCCACAGTCTTGCTATTGGAATATTTTTGCCCATGCTGTGCCAAAAAGTGGGATTGCACTAATTTTCCACCCTGCTTTTATTCAGAAGAATTCTGACTGAGTGTCAACTCCCATGACTCCTCCTCTACTGCTTCATACCCCTTGTAATTCCTTCCATATAGAGGGAGAGTAGGGAATCCTGCTTGGATTGGTCAGTGCTTTCCAGTGGGATCTGCAGAGGATGGATGTTTCCTGTTTGTAATTTGTGGCAGGGATTTGCAGAGGCTGCAGGGTGGTGTGGGGAAATGCAAACAGTAAAGAAGAACAGAAGTTTTCAGTCAGAGCCAGTCGTTGGGTTTTTTCCCCAGCCTGACCTTCCTTTACTTCTGGCAGCTTCTTTTTCAGGCAGAGATGAAAGGAGGGGATTATACTCCTGAGGATGAAAGTCAGAGTCAGTGGGCTTTGAGAGCACAAAAAAAAATAAGAGGAAAGGCCAAATGTCTCAAAACAATTTTGGTCATAATGCTGGACTATCTTTTCCCCCCCCACACCCCGAAATTGCAACATTCACAAAGTACCTGTGTGAGAACTGGGGTTTGTAAGCTCCAGGATGGAAATATGTTTGGAGATTTAGGGTAAAGGTATGGCTTTTGAGGGAGAAGATTAGAGATGAGCAGTGAGAAAAGCTGATCACCCTCATTCCCTGCTGGATGAGGGAAGGTACGTGCAGCAGAGAGCCAGGTTCCCATGGCTGAGGTTTAATCATCCCATTGAGTTTTGGGTTCCTATGCAATAAGTCTCAGGTAATGCTTTTAGTGCTTATTTAAACCGAAATTACGTTTATTTGCAGGCATATGGAAGATGAGTGTTGGGTACAGAAATAAAAATGAACCCACAACATGGCATTTATTTTGCATTTAGATTTGCAAGCTCGAGTCTGCCTTGAATGCTGCTGTGAGGGGAGAAGGGAAATGACCAAATAATAAAGCCTAATAAAGGCTGGTTTTAATTGTCTGCCCTTCTCAGGAAGGGAGGGAGGAAGAGAAAGGCAAAATATGTGTTTAATGCAATTGAAATTTGCTGTATATCACAGTCCCTGTGCAACCCCCAATTTATTTGCTTTTTAGCACAGTTTTAGCCCCTTCTGAGCTACCTGTGCAGACCTTGTAAAAATCATACAAATGCCTCAGTTCATTCAGTGCAAAATCAGGACTAAAGTGGAGGACTAAGGGGGTTCAGTGAGGGGACAGAGGTTGCAAAATCTCTTTTCCTTCAGATCTTTTCCTTGAAAGGCTGGAGGAGGTTGGTGTGTGCAAATTCATTTGGGTAACTAACCATGCAGCCCCTGCTATCCTTTATTTTTTATTTTTTGTGCCTCATTTTTATGACTGAGGTTTTTATGCTGGTGTGAGAGATTTATTCATCCCTGTGTAATGAAACTTTGTACATTCCATATGGCAGTGCTGCACCTAATATGAATTATATGGGACATGAGTCATCCATTCTCCTGCTCCTGTGCTCGGATCAAACGTGACACTTGTTAAAAGAAGTGTCCATTGCTGAGGCACTTGGACTGTTTGGATGCCAGCCTTCCCCCACTCCTGATCCCCTAAAGAAAGGAAATAAAGCTGTTTTTCCCACCTTCACGGTGCACTTTGGCCTGTCCCTCTTTTTGTGTGTCCTGTTGTTGTTTTGTTTTGGTAGGAGGGACAGCAGTGTGATAAAGGAGGAAATCAAAGCCTTCCTGGCCAACCGGAGAATCTCCCAAGCAGTTGTTGCACAGGTAACAGGTAAGAGCTCAGGGGGGGTCTCCTTTCTGAATTTTGGGAAGCTGTGTCTAAACTGCCTCTCAGAGCACGGTGCAGATGTCGGAATATCACTTGGCTTTCTGCATTGCAGTGCAGATCTGTCAGCTTAGTCATGATAATGTATGCCTTTGATTTAAGACCCATTGTCCTGCACATCATGGAACTTCCCCAGTGAATCACTTTTTCCTTTTTTTTTCCCATTTTTTTTTCCTGTGGCTTGTGCTTGGAGATTTTATTTTACAGCATTAAAATAAGCCCCAAGTTCTTATCTTAAAATGAAAACGGTTTTCCTTAATTCTTAAATTGTTTGTTGAGTGCAGCAAATAGATGCATATCTGCATCTCTGTGTATGGAGAGGGAGAGAGATAATATGCATTTATGTTCTAAAAAGTATATGAATAGTCAGGAGATGCAGCTGTAACTGGTATCACTGCAACCAGGAGTCAGATTATGAGAGTTGGAAGTTTTCTTCATCACTTGCCTTTGAGTCACAGTTAAAACGAGATCTGAGTTTGAGGGGTGACCAGACCAGCTTTGATTTTACACAGGAGTAGTGTTTGTGCCCCCTGCCCTGAGCCTTCTCTCTTTCACATGCAGGATGAGTGGACACACTGCAGTGATATCCCACCTTCCCTGGGTGTGTTCCCAGAGCTTTACACAAAGAGTGACAGAGTCCTGCTGCTCCTCCATGGGGTGGGGTGTTATTAGTTCTTCTTTACAGGCTCACAGTGCTTATCCAGAACATCTGGTGGCATCTTCAGAATCAGTTTGGTTGGAAAAACCCTCCAAGATCATCAAGTCCAACCATACTCCCAGCACTGCCAAGGCCACCACATGTCCCCAGTTGCCACATCCACACGGCTTTTAAATCCCTCCAGGGGTGGGGACTCCCCCACTGCCCCGGGCAGCTTCTTTTCCATGAAGGAATTGTTCCCAGTATCCAACCTAAACATGCCTTGGTGCAGCTTGGGGCTGTTTCTTCTCGTCCTGTCCCTTGTTCCCTGGGAGCAGAACCCGACACCCCCCTGTCTTCCCCCTCCTGTCAGGGAATTGCAGAGCCAGAAGGTCCCCCCTGAGCCTCCTTTTCTCCAGGCTGAGCCCCCCTAACTCCCTCAGCCACTCTTGCTGCTCCAGCCCCTTCCCCAGCTCCTTTCCCTTCCCTGGACTTGCTCAAGCCCCTCAATGTCTCAGGAGGAAAACTTGATAAAATCCCAAAGCTCAATCCCATGTTACACCTCTAAGACTTAATTTTTTAACCTAAGCTTGGATGAAGATCTTGAAATAGATAATATTTAAGGTTCCTTGGTGACTGGAAATGCCAAATCAGCAGGAGGGAAGTTGTTCTCTTATATTTCCAGTATTTGAAATGTCACAAGAACCCATCTGTCTGGGAGCTCTGGATTTGCAGACAGTTGAGGTGGGCAGGCAGGAACAAGTGCTGGAGCCACGGAGCCTGGAATTCCTTCCACGTCTCCAACTCTTCTCTGTGATCTTGGGCAAAATTCCTTCTCCTTCCCTGGTTTCAATTTCATCTGGAAAATCATGAGATTAACATTTTGTGTAAATGTAAGGGATGTTTTCAGCCTTATCAGATGTTAGCACTAGTATTTTAATAATTAAACTATAAGTCAAGTTGCTTAAATTGTACCTGAATTCGGAAATTTTGGTAGTTAGTGGGTCACTCTCCTGCTTTTGTACATTCCCTGCCTGAATATAGGCCTGGAATAACCCATCTCTGAATTAAGCTCTGTACAGCACCCTTCATGTCTGCCAGCAAGTCAGACCATCTTCCCCTGCAGGAGGAGTAATGCACAGAGGGAAAAACTGCAGGAAAGGACTCTTTCCAAAGCAAGCCAATATTTCTTCTGGTCAGTGGGGCCACTGAATCAGAATCACCACACCAAAACTAATGTATTGATGGAAGGAATGGATCTAATTATAATTAACTAGGTGGGCACATGTCTCTGATACCCCTGAGTCGGGCTGTAGGAAAGTCAAGTCCAGTCTCTTCACAGCTGGTGGTTTTTCTCCTCCCATCCTGAGCTGTCTCTCTTGGATTTCAGTTGGCATGAGGTTGGCATGTAGCCTCTGGGAGCTCAGATTGTTTCCTCCTGGGAATAAACGACTCCATCCACTTCAGATGTGGCTGACTAAATTTCACACCCATCCCACTCAACTCAAGGGGAATCCAGGATGAGCTCCCACAGTGATCAGAGAATTATTGGAAGATCTCACTGGAGAGAAGGAGGACTGAGCTAATGGCACTGTTTTATTATCCTGTTGTCAGGCCAAATCAATGGGAAACCACGTAGATCTTTGCAGTTGATCCGTGTCATCCTCTGGGGGAAGGTTCCAGGAGCTGATTGATTACAAATATAACCCACAGCCCTGTGTAAGCAGACGTGCAGTACTTGCATGCCACCATCAAGTACGTAGTTATGGCTTATCTGAAAGAAATAGTGAATCTCAGAGATGTTTGAAAGGACCAGATTAAAGAGTGTGCTCAGCAGTACCAGGGAGAAACATCAGCTTCCTCTCAAAAGCACAGGGTGGTGAGGAGGGACTAAAATAGCTCAGGACAGAGATCCAAAGCAGAGAGCACATGTCCCAGGGCTTTCACTTCCAGAGTTTTTTAGGCCTGATGGGTGCTGGTTGACTTGTGTGTTCTTCAGATGTCTCCAGCATCCAAGAGGCTCCCAAGGAATGCCTGGAAAACCGCTTTTGGTTCATTAAAATAACAGTTTGTATAGACAGAGGCAATGCTTTGCAGAATATATGATCCCAAATGGCATCATCTCAGTATTTACAACCTTAGTCTTACTGGTAAAGGTGTTCTGTAAATAGTTACTTATACAAGAGGAAAATGAATAAATTAGCTTTTAGGCTTCAGCCCTTCTGCTCCAGGAAGAGGCAAGAAAGAAAAGAGAAATGTGTGGCTGGCTCTGAACTCCCTCAGGAAAGTTATTTGGCTTGGCTGCCCCTGCTGCCAACTTTGTCCTTTCCCTCTCCACCAATTCCTTTAGTACTCTAAAAAATTCCGTGTGTGTGTAATGGGAGGGGATCATGGCATGGGGAGGGGGAAAGCAATAACAGTGAATCTGAACAGTGATATTGGACCTTTAGCTTGGAGCCCAGAACTTGGCTGCCTTGTCTTAATTGTGGCTGGGTTTGAACCAGCCAGATTGGACATACAAGTGATAAACTTGAGCTGAACCAATGTGTTTGGATGTCTTCAGGCTGCACATTTCTGATCAGCTCCTCAGAGGCTGTGATGTTTCCCCAATGCTTACGACCTTATTTATCCCCACTCTGTAACTTGCTGTGCTCTGCCCTTGGAGCAGAAACCTGCACTGCAACTTGGACCCCTTGAAACTTCCATTCTGCCTTATTTTCCTAATTCTTCGAGCTCCTCTTTCATTCAGAAATCTGTTTCTCCTTTTTCTCATCTTAATTCTCATATTGCAAAGCACTTAACAGAATCCACGTTCCTACCCCAGCCTCTGCATCAGTAAACAGCTTTTCCTTTTGTTTTTCCTGCTGTAGCACAGGGGAAGTGATGGAGAGGGAGGATACATGACAGAGGAACATGGAGCTGAAGGTTAAAGTCAGCTGTTGCAGTAGAACAATTTTTTAGGCTCTCTTAGTCCATATAAAATTACCAGAAACTTTAAAAATGATTTAGCTAATGAATATGACGGGAAAAAATTAAACCTGGAAGACGTTCTATGGTGTACTGAGAGGAGAGGGCAGGTTGGAAAATAGTAACAGAGTATTAAATGGTGACTTGAAAATAAAGGAATGATTGATAAGAAGCAAAACCTTAACATAACACTTATTAGTGCTGGTCCTAAAAACAGGAGCTGCTTTTTATAGAAACTTTTTTAATGGTGTCTGTAATAAGATAAACAAGAAGCACTTGGGTTGGGCTCTGTATAAATAATCTCCTACTGATAAGAAAAATGACAGTATAAACAGGAGCTAATAATAGTTCCTGCGGAATTTCCTATCTTGGATTTGGAGCTGCTTTTACCAGGAGCTGCAGCTTTGCTCAGGGTGGGGGTTCAGCCCCATGTGGGGCAGGTGAGGGGCCAAATTTTTATCAGCCATAATTTGAAGTCTTGTGCTGCAATTTGCCTTAATTGCCACTGGGCATCAATTGAGTTCTGGTCAGAAGGTAAAGGGTAAAAAGAGAAATGTAAACTTGCTAAGAGATGCTGCCTGAGCTTCCAAATGGGGCTGGAAAGTGGGGGAAATGTTTTCAGGAACTCTGTTCTGTGCTACAGTAAAGGAGAGAGGGAGGAGTATTCAGGGATGAGCCCTTTGCAGGTGGGAATAAATCTTTTGATGGATGATGCCTTTGCAAGGTTTGGAAATACTACCTTTCCCATTTTTTACACATAGGGAGTGAAGGAACACAAAAAATAAAAAAATCCTTATTTTCCTGAGGTTGCAGAGCAGAAATTTCAATCCAGATTTTTTTATAAAACCAAACCATTTAAAAAGCCAAAGCAAACCCCAAGAATAAAAACACAGAGGTCATTTTTTGTTGTTGTTTTTAAATACACATAAAGCTTTGCAGGGTGCAGTTCTGCTCACCTTCCCAATTATTCTGCTGGTACAGCCCAGCCCTGTCCTACTGTCTCTGTCTTAACTGAGATGAGAACTCCAGGAGTTGGCTTTCCATTATGCTAAACACACACAGCATCCAGTGCAGTGGAGGGCAGCCTTGGAGCACTGCTGGAACAAATAAAATCCCTAAAGGTTTGGAACCTACACACAGGGATGCTGAGCAAATGCAAATACAAAGGGAAACTTAACTAGTCCTGTTGTGTGAAGAGAATTCAGAAAGTTACTGAGTTACTGATCATCTGAAATGGCATGCCACTGGATTTTGAAAAACATTTTCCTTCCTTCCTTCTTTTTTAAAACTCATGACAACACAGGGAAAGCTTTTTTTTCCCCCTATGATTTTGATCTTTGCAGGTTTTCTGTAAACAAGCTTTGCTAATCTCCTTAAATTGATAGGTGTCCTTTGCAAGCACTTGTTCTGTGGATGTAGGACTTTGCTTACAAAGTGAAGAATTAAAACACAGGCAGTTACTTTCTTCTCCGGGTCTGACGTGTTTCCAGGTGCTTCTAAAAACCTCTCCTGAAAGAAACATGAAAGAAATGCAAAGCAGAGCCGCCGAACAAATCTGTGAAGGTGAAAACCAGTTCCCAAAGACTCGCTGAGTAGCAGCGTTGAGGGTTATGAGGAGATTTGTACTGCAGATACCAGTTGCCTCCTCTTGATGCTGTGTTTTGCCATTTCTTTTATATATTTGAAAGGGAAACTCTTTCCCCAGTAACTTGTGTAGCAGCCAACAGGGCTGGCCAGAGGAGTGAGCACGACCTGCCACCTCCGTGGGGTTTATTGTTAGGAAGCATAACCTGCCACGGGAAGGAGTGATGTGTGACACAAGAAGTCAGCATTTAAATTGCAACAGCCCTTTGTGAACACCACTTTTCTTCAGTGTTTTCAGTGAGAAAACTATGTGTGCTCACAGCCACGTGTTCGTGGCCCTGCTGTTGCTGGGCCCAGAGGATGACAGTCTTCCCCATTCAGTTTGGGAGTGAATTTCCTCCACACAGCTGGATTTTCAGTACTCCAGAGAACTTATTTTATTAAGCTACTTCTGGCAGCAGGAGGATTTCTTTTTTTCCTGCCAGTGCAATTTCCTAGAGAGGAATGATTACAGGCAACGTGCCGGCGTGGTCCTGGTGTGGCAGTACCTGGCCCTGGCCCTGAGGCACTTGAGATGCAACAAACTCTGACATGACAATTTGAGGGGGGTTGTTTTTTTAATTGAATAGAGTGAAGGATGGATTTGGATTAGGACACTGGGATCTAGGAGATCCTGGATCAATTCTGCTGCAGACTTTGCACGTGACCTTGATCAGTGAAGCCGTTGAAATGTGGTTTTTGGGCCTCTAAACCGAGCTGAGGTACAGATAAGTTTTATGCCTTAAGAACATTTTGCAGAAGCAGCTTTGTGAACTGTGAGGACTCCCAGTGAGTCAAAGGATCAGCTGCTGTGGCTAAATGACACCAGTTATTTTGCCACAGAAGGATTCCAGCAGAGATACAGCTCTGCATTGGAGGACTTTGGTGCAGTTCAGTACCTTGTGACAGTGCAGAGTTGGTGGTAAGACAGATCCAGGTTAAAAGATGGGAAAAGACATTGGAGCAAATCCAGAGAAGGGCCATGGAGATGATTAGAAGGATGAGGCACCTCTCCTGTGAGAACAGGCTGAAGGGATTGGGGTTGTTCAGCCTGGAGAAGAGAAGGCTCTGGGGAGATCTTATTGTGGCCTATAAGAAAGATGGGACAAACTTAGCAGGGCCTGTTATGACAAGGGGTAATGTTTTTAAACTGAAGGAAGATCAGTTTAGATTAGATAGAAGAAAGAAGCTTTTTACAATGAGAACAGCCAAACCCTGGCACAGGTTACCCAGAAAGTTTTTGGATGCCCTATCCTTGGAAACATTCAAGGTCGGGTTGGATGGGGCTCTGAACAACCTGACCTAGTTGATGATGTCCCTGCTCATTGCAGGGGGTGTTGGACTAGATGACCTCTAAAGGTCTTTTCCAACTCAAATTTCCTGTAATTCTATGAAAGTGGACATGGCAACACCCAGCTTGAGCCTTTTGGCTCCTTCCCCTTTGTGCTGTCCCGAGCACATGGTCTGGAGTGGTCACGTCTGTACCACGTTGTGACCGTGTCAGGCAGCCTTGTGAGGAGAATTCGGATTTTCCACTTGCTGAGGACATCTAATCTCTTATTTATAATTTTTATCTAACAGTGCTCTGTGTTTATGTCTTAGTTTGTTATCCAAGCACTCAGCACACGCTAATTCACTGCAGTGAGTGTAAGTGGACCGTAGTAAACAAGTAAATGTGTGGTGCTGTTACCCAGTGATTGATGGGAGCCAGGCAGCCAAACCTTCGTGTCCCACAGCACTGTGTCCAAAAAATGGCTTTTATAAATCATAAGAGTAGGTCAAGAGCTGCAAATTTTCGAAACTTGGTCCTTTCACTGGTGATCAAGCATCTAGATGGCATGATTTCAACTAGGCTCTTGAAGCTTTGGTCTGGGCCAGAGGATATCACCAACTTGAATTGACTTCTTTTGGTATTAACTTGTAACTTCCACTGTTACTTGATGTAAACTTGGCAGGATCTAAGATTTCTGCTTGGTTGAATAATTCCACTTCCCTTGTAATATAAACTCAATTTTAGATCCCAGTGTGGGCCCTGGGGGTAGGCAACTCTTGGCTGCCCCAGCTGTTCCTGAGCTCTTTCAGTTGTGGGCAAGGCAGTCTCTGGGAATGGGTTTTAAGAAAATCAGGGTCTGTTTTGTGGGCACAGCCCTGGTGAACAGCAGTAAACTTCTGCCTCCGAAACAAAACATTCCTACCCCTTTTCCCCAGGATAATTAAAACTTCATAGCCTCCAGAATTCCGTTTAAGGAAGAACAATTAAGAGTATAAACCCCATGATTTTAAAAATCTGGTTGGAGTAAACCCACCTGAATATGGTACCTGAGAGTCAAGTTGAGACATTCTGAACTTAACTGCCTTCGGTGTTCAACACAGAAAAAAAGCACAGTAAAACCCCCAGATTGGAAGCAGTAAAACTACAGGGGGTTGTTTTTCATGAGTTAAATATGATTATGAGATCTTACAAAACCTTGATGCATCTCAAGAGGGAACAGGGAGTTTGGTTTCTGTGTGAGAACCAGCCTCTACCTGCCTGGGCATTATCACCAAGCAGGTGGTGGCACAGGTGGTGTTGGCAGTATATTGTTACTTGGAGCACCTCCTAAAACTTCACTTCTCAGGAGAGTGGAGATGTTGTTAACCCTTCCTGGTGGCTGAAGAGCCTTGTGGAAAGCACAGGGAATTGTTCTGCCTGAAGTTCTGCTGCAGTTATTCAGCAAACTGTATACATTTGTTGATGTTGCCAAGTGAACCTACAGTTCACCTCCTGGTGCACTTTTAAAGCTCTTGTTTTGTTTAGTTTCCCTCCTAATCACTTTTTGCCCTTTCTGCATTGATCTTTCATTTGCTGTCAGGCTTTGGAAATAACTGTATTACCTTCTATGATTTTTTCCCCCCTTTTTACTCTTAGAAATCTTGCTATAAAAAGTGGAATATTTTGTCCCTAATCATGCCTGGATACCTGGAGCTTGACTCCTGCTTTGCTGGCAGACAGCTGCCCTTCCTGGGTTGTTTTCTGGCCGTTGTTCCAGCTGCTGACAGTTGGTTTGCTCCACTTCTGGGCTGATTTGATCTGTATCACCCAGACTGTTTCTGTGTTTATCTCCCTCATTCAAGCATCGAGTGATAACGATCTCTTAACTATCTTATATACTTGTAACAGTGGGGAAGGGACTTGTTCCCATTTCACAGATGAAGAAGTTTAAGAGTCGGGGAAGTTGTGGACAGTTGGAGTCGCTGGTAGATTTGGCTTCCCACTTTTGCACCCTTTTTGCCTGTGGGTCGATTGGGCAGATTCCAGGATGTCCCTTGAGTAAGGATGAACAAAAAACACCAGGGAGAAGTTAAGGCAGTTTGGGGCAGGGCAGGGAGTCTTCAGCTCTGCTTTTCCTGGGATCCAAGCACTGCAGGTTCCTGGGCTTTGTGAGGCAACACCTTTTATCAGTATAAAAACCACCTAAAAATGTTTTAGATATAACAAGTTTTCTCTTTCTCCTTTTTTTGTGTTTTGTTCTGGTTTTTCCAGGGATCAGTCAGAGCCGGATCTCCCATTGGCTGTTGCAGCAGGGGTCGGACCTGAGTGAACAGAAGAAAAGGGCATTTTACAGATGGTACCAGCTTGAGAAGACAAATCCTGGTAAACAAATACAGCCTAAACATCTCCTGCTGTTTATTTATGGAATGGAAACCTTTTGTCACGGTTCTGTCACTGATAATTTACTCCTTGTCTGGGGTACTCCAGAGGTTCTTCCTCTGAATGGTGTCATTTTTGGGAGGGTGGGAGCAGATCTTCACTTTACTTCTCAACAAATGATCCAGAACTGACTCATCCAGATCTGTCTCATCCATAGCTGTCTGTCCAGCTCCTCAGTCATGGATACTTGCCTTGCCCTCCCACCACTAACTAAATCTGGGAATCAGAAGCAGTCAATGGAGTTACAGTCAGTTAATTAATGAAATACCTGCTGAGGCTCTTCAGAATGAACAATTAGAAAACATTAATAATGGCTGCATAATACAGAGTTGCAGCAAAAAAATCCACAGTTTGGCAGAGAGGATCTTTGGGATAACTTCAGAGGGTTTTGAGTTGGATCTCCTGGATGGGATGTTGATAGTTCCAGTGATAAACTGGAGATGTGTCTTTTAAATCCCACCTGCCTCTCCAAATCTCAAAATAGATCTTGAATATAAAAGGAGAAGTAAAGCTCCTCATTATCTTGAACTAACCAGCAATCTTAAGCATCACAGTTTAATTAATTTCCTCACATTGTTCTTCTCCACAGATTTTGTTTGACCACAGTTCTTTTTTTTTTCCCTTTAGCAGTTTTATTGTAAAGATCAAAATATTTACGTTTAATTTCCTTTAAACAATGGCATGATTAAATTAGCTGTGTAATTGTTTTAAGGAATTTCAAACTCAGGCTCTCTAATGCGAGCTTGGCTTCAATACCCAGAACTCTATTAAGAAAAATTCCAGTGAAAACAAGAGTCTCAAAACCCCTGCTTTGTGTGTGAGCTGAAAATCAAGAGGCTCCAGCTGCCAATTGGCCTGGGACTGCCTCAGATTGAAGTTGGGTGGGTTCAAAGTGACAGCTGAGCCTGTTTCTTCTGTTAAGCATGTAGAAATTTGTTTTAAAGAATGAAAGTGCCAAGGAGCCTTGCTTTTTGCAGTGGCTGGAATTGTGACACTCAGGATCAGCAAAGTTCCTGGGTACAACCATCCAGTATCAGCTCCTTGGAAAGGCTGGGATTGTGCCCTGCAAAGTGACTCCCAGACATTTCCCTTTGATGGAAGGTGTTGCCTCCAAAGTAGTGGAGAAACTTAGAGGGTTTTGGAAAGTGTATTTTGGGGAAAAAGCCCCACAAAAATCTGCTCCAGATGAAACCTGTTGTGTGGATCTTTCCTATCACTTTGCATCTTTTCTTGCCAGTGTCACATGAAGCTGTTTAAGAAATCACATTCTGTGCTGGGATAAGAGAAATCTTGTCCAATTCAGCACTAGAATCTTTATTTCTTATCCTTCTTTCTTTCCCCATATTAACAAACTCACATCTCCTTTGTCCTTTTGCTCTTGAGAAGTGTCTTAAGGAAGGAAGACTTTAAACACTGAAGGATATGGCTTAAATTTAAATGAGTCCACGTGAACCTCTACTTTTCTTTATGCACACATGGAAAACCTCCTGGAAGAGAGGTTGTTTGAGTGTAACCTTTTTCCCAATAAGAAATCTTAAACAGCATTTTCAAGAAGTGTAAAAGGCAAATTGTTTCCTCTGCCTAAGCAAAGGGACTGTTTGGATGCACTTAAATTCCTTTTAGAACCAAATAACATTTGGTTTCTTTTAAGGCACTGAGGTAAAGGGAGGAACCTTCAGCTTTCCTGCAGCTGTGGGGAAAGTCTGCTTGAGGAAAATGGGGTTGTATTTATTTATTTATTGTAGGATCATCCACTGCTTTGAATTACTGCCATCTACTATATTGCAGGTCAGAGCAGGTAGCCAGGAGATAATTAACAAGTGTCTTCTGGAAGGTACCAACCTTGTCCAAAGAATCCTGGATTTAAATCACTGTTACGAAACCAATTTAGAGACGAAGTTTTGGATCCTACTTGGAGTATCCTGTGATTAGTAGACAAAGCACTACATTCTGCTGCCTCCTCTAAAGCCAGAAAATGAGGAAATCAGTGGAACTTCCTGCCACATTCCCAAAGTGATACCATCACTGCACTCTCTGTAGTGTGAAAGATTGTCCTCCTTGGAGGAAACTTGAGAGATTAAATGACTGGCATGTGCTTTTTTTCTGTTTGCTTGCTTGCTGAGAAGTGGCATTTGGCTTTCTGTTCTCAGAATTCCCAACTTTTCCAATTCCAGCTGCTGGGGACAAAACCTCAGTCCTTTGAGTGACAGAGTCAGGTCTCTGTGCAGAACACCTGCATGTTTGAGTTACCAGTGGGCACAGTGAGGTCTTTGGGAACTAATTAGTTCCCCAATTTCTTTAATTCCTTATCTTGCAAAGCTCAGAGTAAGTCCAGACTGAATTTGTGTAATGGAAAAAAACCTTTCACTTAAAATTGAATTGGTTTTGAAGGACTAGGACAGCAGATAAAATCAATTTATAAACTGGGAAGGAGGAATAGTTGTTTTGTGTGGAAAGGACTGGAGATCTCTTGGCAGGCCTGCAGCCCTCCCTTGGCTCTGCCACTTTTTCTGTACAATTTGTAGAATTCACCTTTCACTTCCCCATCTCCTCAACAAAGGTGAGCCCCATTCCCTGAGTGTGACACCCCTGCTTTGCCTCACAGCAGGGTCTGTCTTTTACTGTGCTTATATAAGCAAAAGATAACTTATAAATATATAAAAAGAGATTTTATTTTAGTTTTTTTTTTTCAAATGTAGAATGGTGCTATATAATGCTTTAAATCATCCACAAGCTTTCCTGCATCTACCAACCAAAGAATTTCATGTTGGGGAGCCTTAAGGCAGTTTCAGGACACTGCTGCTGTTCAGATGTTGCTCCTTTGTGGAAGAAACTCAGCAATTCCATCACTTCCATTCTTTTCCAGGTTTCTCTGACCTCTTGAATGTGCTGTTTGTTCCTTGCTTGGGTTTGATTGCTGGTTTGCATGGGCAGTTTCTGTATTTCTCCTGTCTCTGGTGGGGGGTGTTCAGACAGCAGCAGGCTGGAACGTTGCAAGAGAGACTGAAATCTCATGGACCAGGGTGAAAAAACCACCCACTTATCCTACTGTTTGCAATAATCTTGCTCAAAAATGTCTTTACCAACGTTTTCCTGGTAGGAGTGATGTCAGAGTTAATGGCATTGCTGTGAATTCCAGTGTTCTACTGGTTGTAAATTTTTCTGGGAGGAGTTGCCATTTAGGGTGAAAGGTGGTTTTTTTGTTGAAGGGGAGAAGTCAGTGCTAAATGCAAGTATTTGAAAGGTCTTTAATCCAATTAATAGGGATGCTTTTCATTTAGATGGCGCTTTTTTCAGACAGGCACCACTTGTCCTGTGGTTTGTGGAGGACTGAGAGCATTTTGGCAGTAGATAAATAGTATATATTTCAGAAGCCAGTATATGAGTGCAGAGAGTCCTGCAACGTTCTGACTGATTTTTTTCAGAGCCCATGGGTTTTAAATAAATAAATATTTCTTTTTAGATTGGTAGTTGTTACCCTGATTAGTTTGCCTGACACTGGGTCTTGGACAATGTGGAAAGTTTGTTATGGAGTAACTTTAACTTGTCTCTTGCCTCTTGTAGTGCAAAGTGAAGCTGGCACCCAGAAATGATATGTTAAAGTTACAGATGGGTACAGACTGCTTCCATTTAGGCTGGGTATTTATTTCTGCCAGTCTTCTGTAATAGGAAGGCAGCTGTGGTCACCTTGAAGAGAACCCTCTGCTCTTGCTCCTTGAACAAAAGGGAAAAAGAGAGGTAGTTATTGTCAAGATGTAGCATCTCTTGTGTTATTCCCACAGCAGTTCTTGTTGAGCTCTAAAAGAAAAGCCTACCCAAAATCAGGGGGTTTGCACTGGGAATGGATTGTTGATGATGTGCTGTTTCCCAGAGCAAACAGTCCCTGCTCTGATCCTTTTCATCCAGGGCAGGAGCTCTGGAGGGAACTTTTTGCTGTGCTGCTGCTGATCCAAATCTGCCCTGGCTCGGGAGGAACTGAGAGGTGTTTATTGTGTGATCTGGGGTCAGCCTGGCTAAAAATACAGTGAGACATCTGTTCTTATCAGTGCAGGGGAAGAGAGGTACTTGCTGCAAAGGCTTGCCAGGAAATGGTTCCTTGGAGCTGGGAGATGCCTGAGGCTCAGAGTTACCATCCTGTGGCAGGGCCTCTGTGGGGCACGTGATGGGGATCAACAACTGCATGGGATGCTCTTACAGCAACTCCCTTTCTTCAGGATGGTGTCTGGGATGTGCCAAGAGGAGGCAGCCCTTCTCCATGAGGAATTCTGAATACAGAGAGAGCTGCATTCCAGTGGGGAAGCACCAATCTTGCCTCCTCTCCCCAAAAACCCACCTGCAGGATCCTCGAAGTCATACCTTGCGTTTGAGGGAATTCAGGTTTGCCCAGAGAAAACCCAGCACTGCAGGAAAAGGTGCCCAGCACTGGCAGGGAGTGAGAGATGCCACTTTTGCTTTCCCTCTGTGAAGGCAGTTCTTCCCAGGCAGTTCACCTCTACACCCCTGAGAGATGTCTGGCTGTTTGATGCATATACTGAGATGAAAATCTCAGGCTGCATTTTCTCCACTCTTGTCTGCTCAGGAGAGAAGTTTCACTTCTTCTTCTTAAAAGCTGTTTGAGGGGTTTATAAAAAGATTCTGAACTGGTGACTGGGATGTAACTTAGTAAGTTATAAAGAAGTGGAGCTGGGTGGTGAGAAGGTTGGGATGAAGCTTTAGAACAGCAGAATAAATAGGATCCCCAAGTGCTCATTGAATTGAGGGGGATGAGGAAAAGCTCCAGAGTTACCCTACCAAATGTGGCAGCAGTGCATGTCAGGAATCCTAAATGGTTTGGGTTCAAGATCACCTTGTTCCACCCCTGCCATGGGCAGGGGCACCTCCCACTGTCCCAGGTTGCTCCAAGCCCCATCCAACCTGGCCTTGGACACTTCCAGGGATGAGCAGCCACAGCTTCTCTGGGCAACCTGTGCCAGGGCCTGCCCACCCTCCCAGCCAACACTTCCTTCCCAATCTCCCATCTCTCCCTGCCCTCTGGCAGTGGGAAGCCATTCCCTGTGTCCTGTCCCTCCATCCTTTGTCCCCAGTCCCTCTCCAGCTCCCCTGGAGCCCCTTTAGGCTCTGGAAGGTGCTGGAAGGTCTCCCTGGATCCTTCTCTTCTCCAGTTGAACCCCCCCAGCTCTCCCAGCCTGTCTCCATGGCACAGGGGCTCCAGCCCTTGGTGCATCCCATGTCCACTCTTTCCACACATACATCCAAGCTCATTTTGGGTCTCTTTATGCATTCAGATCCTTCCCTCTCTGTTTGTGGTACTTACTTGTAATTCTCAGCATATTTCTCTCTTATCTGCTGCTGATATTGATGTTACCCCATAGAAAAGAGAAATAGGTAAATTGATCCAGCAGGGCTACTAAAACAAAAAAAGTACGTTATATTCAGTATGTGAACATATCAGTAGCAGCAGCAGCAGCAAATTTATGCATTCAATGCAGATTTTTTTCAACCTCTGTCTGAAAAATCTCAGAAAAATTTCATGGAAGGACTTACCTTGATGTTGGTCATCACTGATTTTCCTATACTCTCCCTGTGAAATTAAACCTTCAGGTAGGGAAAGTATATTGCTAAGACAATGCAGGGAAAGTGAATTTCTTTTCCTGTTCTTCCCTGTCTCTTTTTTAATTTTTTTTTTTTAAGGAGGGACGTTTTGTGGTTTTTTGTTTGTTTTTCAATTTTTGAAGTGTATTTAAAGCTTGGGAACTTGACACCCACCCAACCCCCTAAAGTGTGCAAGTACTAGAAAAACCAGATAAGGAGCTTTCCTTGAAATGGCCTCCCAGTAAAACTGGCACTATAGGAAATATTTCATGTTTCAATAAAACCCAAGTAATCTGTGTGGGCTCGTTAGCTGGGAATTAGTGAGAGGCACCGTGTGTTGTGTGTGCAAGGCAGAGATTGTGGGGCTTCACTTCCTACAGGCTCCTCCTGGGTAACATTTGTAAATTGTTTGGAGCTCTACTACCTGCCACAGATGCAGTGAGGAAAATACTCTGTGTGCATTTCTGGGAGGGAGCACAGCCAAGTGCCTAAATAGCTCATTTCTTGCTTTTTAGCTGCAGGAATTTGTTTATTGGTTAAACTCTTAAGTTCCCTTGACCCTTCTACCCCGTTGTGTATTAGAGGAGCAGTGTTGTTTCACTACCACAGTCTGTTTGGATGATTAAATCCCAACCCAGAGGGGTTTGCTGTCTGTGTGTGCACAATTCTGTGAGCAGAGCTGCTCCTCCTGGAGCTGCCCGGTGCAGGAATTCCGGTGGAGCTCAGAATGCTTGTGGGATAGAGGTGGTGATTTCTCTTTTCATACACCTTTTTTTTTTCTTCTTTCTGTTTTGCACACAAGAGCAGCTCTTCCCTCCCTGTGGGGGAAGTCACTGAGCACAGAGCTGTCCTTCAGAACATGCCCTGCTTTCCGTCCTCGTGTCCTGTCCCAGGTTCCCGTCCTCACCCGGGGATGTATGAAAGATCGATCTCCCAGTGTGTGCCTTGATTTATCTTGATTTATTAACTGAGAGGCTCCTGTGGAAAGAATCAGGGGTGAGTTTCAAAGGGGCCTTTCCTGAAGGCATCTTGCCAAGTCCCGTCTCGTGCTTGATGCTTTCCAGCTCAGAGCTATTGAAAGGAGAAATGCATCCACAGAAGGGGAGCAGAAGAGGAAAGTTGTGGTGTTAATCTGCTTTCAGTGACTTTTCCAGGCCCCCTGGCACCCGTGAGCCCATGTTTGCACAGGCCACAGGTTGTGCTTCTGTTGGTGGAGCTGCTTCAGGTGTTCCCTCAGCTCTTTGGACAGGCTGAAATACCATTGGTATAAATTTTCCATTTTGTTTCCTGACACTGCTGTAAAATTAAACAGAACTTGCTGTTTCCCATTTTGTGACAGACCAGGTGGCAGCACAGCCTAAATAAATCCCAGCTGGGGCACAGCTCACCCTTTCTTTACAACCCCTTTCCTCTTGATGAAGACAGGACAGCTCTTCCTAAGTGCCTGTCAGCTCAGTTATGTCTCCTTAGACTTCCATGGTCACCTTGTACCTCTCTGGCTTGGAGCTTGGGGATGGCAACTCTTAGTGTATCTTTAAGGTGTCTCTGTTGGACAATGCTTTTCTTTTTTAGTGTGAATGGTTTCACCATTTGTCCTGTCTTTTTTTCCCACGAACAGGAATGAGAGGATGGGCATGACTTTTAACCCTCTGAAACCCACAATATTTGTTATTCTTAGGGGCCACACTAAGCATGAGACCAGCTCCTATCCCTGTAGAAGAGCCAGAATGGAGACAGACGCCTCCCCCAGTCACAGCTACCTCTGGGACCTTCAGACTACGGCGAGGCAGTCGGTTCACGTGGAGAAAGGAGTGCCTGGCAGTCATGGAAAGGTAGGTCACTCTGGGGCTTTGGAGCTGGGTGTTTTAAACCCAACTCAAGTGTCCTTTTGCCTGCTCTGGTGAACAGCAGCACTGTTTTCCTGGGTGTGTTTTAGCATCATGCAAGCCTGTAATTGATTCTAGAGAGTAGGAGGAGCTGTTTTACCTCTTGTGTTGTTTAAAAAAATGTAGCACTGCTCTGGACAATCTCTCTTTTTTTTTTTTTTGTAGCCCCCAGGACATCATGTCTTTAGCTCAGTATTGGTGTTCAGCTCTTCCTTTGCTTTTGCAGAAACCTTTCCACTTAGCCTAATCCAGACTCCCTCTTGGTGGGAGTCTGCACTCTCTTTACACTCTGCATTTCTCCTTTCCCACTTTCCTCATTTCCCCTCCTGGTGTATCCAGGTATTTTATAGTTGGTACTGGCATTTGGACAGCGCTGTGATTGCTCAGGATGCAGAACTTTGCCTAACAAGCAGTAGATTCCTTGTCCAAAAAGGCTCTTACAACCCTTTTGTATGAGCTGGGAGCAGCACAGAGCAAAGTGGATCTTTCAAACACATCTGCAGAGTGGGAGGTGATCATTAGAGCTCCCAGCCCTCCAGTCCTGCAGAGACAGAGCACTCTGAGCCTGGGTGTGCTTTGCCTTCCCCTCTGCTCGCAGTAATGTCTCTTTTGTGGATAATGTTGTATAACAGGAAAGGGCCAGTGAACTCAGGTGTAGTTTGGGGATGAATACTTGTTTCTGTTCAGGGCTAAATGGCTGGGAAGAGTTTTCTCCCCTCTGAGGGCAGGAGGAGCTTCCTTTCCATGGAAGCACCATGTGTGTGCTGCACTCCTCTGGTTTGCAATTCCAGCGAGACCTCGGCCAGCAGATCTGTGGGATGTGCTTTTACCATTTCTATAATGCTCCTCTTCCCTCCTGCTTGCACAAGGGCCTGGGGAACTGATTAGGAGCAGGAGCTGAGGCTGAGCTAAGACTGAAATCCTGAGCTCCCTCGGGAACACAGGGATAGACACACTTCTGTGTGGGCACAGGCCATCACAGGGTCTTTGCAGGACTGGAACCAGTAACTAAGTGTTTGTTTCCCTGTTCTGGCCTGGCACTGCATTGATGTTTTCACCTTAGGCTGGATGTTTCCCCGAAGGAAATATTTGAAATCTGTTCTGCTTTGCTGGACTAAGCTAATGCAAAGTCCTGGGATCTGATTGTACAGGACTGTGTTTTTCTGGTGTCCCCCTCCACAGAGGCAGTACAGGATCTTTAGCACTTTAAAATGTTTGTATGACTCTCCTGATGTGTAAAATGACAAACCACCACAGCTCTGTGTGCCTTCAGGACAGCACCATCTCCTGATGAACCCTCTGTGTATGAAATAGTTATGCTTGATGTAGAATTAGAGCTCTTTGGACGTGGCTGTTTTCATTTTTTGGTTTCTATCTGGCCTGAAGTGCAATAACTGCTGTGATTTGCTGTTTGAATCCTGTTTGTACCTCAGACACCTCTGTGGGGAAACACAGAGCAGAGAAAGAGCTGAGCAAACCAGCACTACCCTTTCCTCCTCCACACCTCTCCTCAAGCCTTTCTCTGCTGAGACACTCTCAGAGAACCTGTGGTGGTTTGATGTGCCTGTTAGAAAGGTGTGAGGTTTGGGTTTGGTTATGGAAAGAAGCAAATCAGTGCTGAGTTTGAAATCACCCAGTTGTGAATGCAGATACGTAATCGCTCGATCTTAATTTTTCATTAACTTCTTTTCTTCTTTGTCGTTCTTGGTTTTGTTCTCTGTGTCTTGTGCTCTGTAAGGTCTTTGCTGCAAGGGTTTTCTTCTTATTCTGCTGCTGCCACATTGCCTTAATCCTGGCTTTAATGTTAATTTACCAAGCCCTTGGTAGGTCACCGTGAGCACTGAGTTTCCCAGCCTTGTGTGGGGTACTGGAAATCAGGGCTGAGGAGTTTCATTCAAGGCAGGACCACAGTAAAAGTGTTGTATGGCAATAAAACTACCCCATAAAGCAAGCTGGGAATATGGTTGTTAAACTGTTGTGCTTTAGTAGGCCTAGTGAGCTGGAGGGATGAGCTGTTTTATGTGACAGGTCCTGAAAGAGTGGGAGAAAAATGTCCTTCTGGGAGCCCCAGGAAGAAAGGAACTAATTTCACTTACAAGTCACTGGAGTCTTCCAGGCTTGTCCATAATGTGGCTCATAACAGCAGCAGGATGGAGGTAACCAGATTCCTGGCTGTCTGGCCCAAGAGGTTGGATTTTCTCCATGCCATAGGGTCAGGAATAAGTATTTGGCCACTAAAATGGTGGTTGGCATTGCCTGTGGGCTGGTGCTGTTTGTTGGGTAATTGGCATTTTCCTCCCAAGGATTAAATTTTGACTGTGAATGGAGGCATCTCACTTTATTGGGCTGTTTTCCTCCAGGAGGTGCAAGTTCCACTGCATTGTGTTTGTATGTCCTGCTGCTTTGGGAACTTCAGCTGATAACTGTCCAGCAAGGAGGAACAGGGATGCAGGAGACAATTCCATCCAACTCATATGAGGGTTGTAAGCACCTCCCTCTCTAATTGCCTTCTGCACTTAGAACTGACTTTGGTCATTTAGTTTAAAGCCTGAAGATAAGAGGGTTGAATCTAAACCTTACTGGAAACTCTTGTGTAGGTAATGCAGAACTTCTTCCTTCTGGATGTTACTGGAATGCTGCATAAACAATTTTTGGGTGAGGGTGGGGGTGTTGACCTGCTCTGTCAGTTAATTGTGTGCTTTTGAGTTGTATTCAGTTGGTGAGAACTGCCATCACTAAAAGTCGATGTGTCAAACCAGCTGAGAGCACTTCAGGGGAAGGACCTGAATTTGCTTGCAAAAATTAGAGGGATTTGCTTCCTGGAGCACTGAAAATGCACAGCCCCAGTCAGGATTTGGCCCATGAGCTGAATGAGAAGGGTGAGGGTTGAAGGGCTCGTTTCTCTTTTTTTTCTTTAATATTGAAATCAACAAAAATTCCAGTGCAATTAATTATTATATTGGTGCCAACCTGATAGGATTAAGATTAGAGTTAGGGCCATATACTTAGATGTCTGATGTACCTAAGTGTCTGTGTACAGGATATGTGTATTAAAGAAACTAATTGGTTTATACTGGATTTCCAGAATGCTGCTTGTGGTTTGTGTAATTCAATTCTCCAGTCTTCCCTGCTTTTTTGGAATCCTCCCAGAGTAGTTTATTAGTCTCTGGGCTTAGATTTCGGACAATGGATTTGGGTCTCTTTTCTCCTTTTATTTATTTATTTCTTTTTTTTTTTTAAAACATCTCTCTCAATATTTATGCTGTGAAGGTTAAGAGGAGCAGTAGTTCCAGAAAGTAAAGCTCTATATTTAACTGCAGACTAGGTGTGGTTCAGACAACTGCAGTGCAAAGCTCCTTCTCTCTGCTGTGCTACTGATACCAACCTTGACCTGTTCCCTCCTGGAGCCTCCTGCCCGTGGAATATGCTGAGTTTTGAGTGTGTTGTTGTCGTGTGGCTCTGCCCTCCTTTGGGAACAGAGCTAGGACTGCAAGAGTCCTTTCTGTGCAAACCTCAGGTTAAACTTGAAAGCCTGTTTCTGCTTCACTTTCCTGTTCTTTTTCTGTTACTTTTTGTCCCACAGCTAATTTTTATTTTTCTTTTCTCTGCTTTACCTCTTCTTTTCAACCCCTCTCGTTAGAACCACAAAATAGAAAATTCCCTCAGGGTTTTCTCTCCTTTTTTTTTTTTTTTAAACGAAGCTGTGTTGTCTTGTCGTTTTATTTTCTTTATTGTTATTTTTTTCCCCAAGTGATTCGTGCTTCTCCTCTAATCATGTGTTGGAGTTGAGGTTTATCTTCTTTTTCAGGCAAACAGAATAACTAAGATTGGCAGCAGAATCAGTGACTTTATACCCGTTTTAAGGCCCTTTTGTCGAGTGCCATTAAAGACTGGAGGGGGGGGTTGAGTGTTGTTTTTTAAGTATACACTTTATCCAAAGATTAAATTAAAAAGCCTGTAAATTCTGCCCTAAACAAAAATGAATAATTCATCAGTTGAACGCATTTCAGTTTGTCTGGGGAGCAGAGACTTTGCTTTCTGGTTGAGGGTTATTTGGTTTGATTTTATGGGTCTGATTTTTTTTATTTTAACACTTGTCTGTGCTTGTGAAACTCCTTTTGTAAAGGGTGTATTTAGATTAAATAAGACTAAGATGATATAGATACCCATTATCCCCATTTCATAGGTGGCAAAACAGAGTCAGGTGTTTCACTTGGCTTTATTCCTGAGAGAAATGGGTTTAGATTTCTCAAGATAGGAGGGTATAGTTTCATGCTATAGCTGAGCTGAATTAACAGTTTGTCACCAGCTCATCCTTAGGTGTTATCCTGCCTCACCACCCTTCTCAATTCCCCCTCCTCCTCAGTTTCCCTGCTCCTACCACCCTGCACTGTGCCAGATATGTTTCTTGTCTGATGGAAATAGCAGCCAGTTCAGCTCAGTTCAGGGAAAATAAATCCTTCTTGTTCCCCCCCTGCATTTTCCTGAATTGGTTCATCTTGCTGTGCAGGGAGGGGGTGCCAGAGCTGTCCCAGGGCAGAGGACAGGGATGCACAGCTGGGAGCACAGGGAAGGGGAAGTTTAACAAAAGATGGATGGATTATCCATGGTGGGTTTTTGATCTGCTTGGTTTTGTTCTGGTTTTGTTTGGTTTGAGTTTGGTGAGTTCCTGGTTTCATTAAAAGCGTGGCCATACTGGCAGTTGTGCTGGCATCATGGAAGAGGGGTCTTTTGATTTTTCCAGGGAACAGGAATGGATTAGTTCCATGAGGATTAGAGGGATGGAGCACCTGTCCTGTGAGGAAAGGCTGGGAGAGCTGGGGGGGTTCACCTGGAGAAGAGAAGGATCCAGGGAGACCTGAGAGCCCCTTCCAGTACCTAAAGGGGCTCCAGGAGAGCTGGAGATGGACTTGGGACAAGGGACAGGAGGGACAGGACAAGGGGGA